CCTAGGGTCAGCATCTTGAGCCACAGCTCCACTTTCAGCATGAATTGAAGATAGGAGTTTCACAGGCTTATTAACTTCCCTCAAGATTCTCAGATCTCAGCCCCCTGAGTAGATGGGATTACAGGCTTGAACCACTGTTGTCTACCTCATGCCTTTTAATACGTTGCTGCATTCAGCTTGCTACTCCTTTGTTGAAGATACTCTCATACATATTTATAAGGGAGGTTGATCTATAGTTTTCTTATTAGTGTTTGCCTGGCTCTGGTATCTGAAGTTCTTAAAACAAGGCAGGATGGATTCTTCCCTGTAACATTATATGAAAAAAATCTTAGAAGAATTTGTTTTCACTCTTTTTTAAAAAACAACAACAACAACAACAAGAAACATTTGGTAGAATTCATTAGCAAAGTGATCTGGTCCTTGGCTTGTCTTTTTTGGGGGGAGGGGTTTTGATTACTAACTAATTCTTTTGTTAAAGATCTACTCAGATTTTTCTATTTATTAGAGTCAGTTTTACTAATGTTTCTAGAAATTTACCCATTTTGTCTAAGTTATCTAGTTTCCTGGCTTTTGATTGGTCTATTGTTTGCCTCAGTTATTATTATTATAATTTTGCCATAGGTGACATAGTCGGTTCATTTGACTTAATGTTTTCATATTCATTAATGTTTAATATACATTAAAATGTGTACATTTAAATGTATACACATTAACATACATATTTCCATATACATTTTAATGCTTAGTATCTATTAAAAGCATGAGCTATCAGCAATCCACTAGATCTATGCAATTCTATTGTATCTAAATTAAGCCTAAATTAGAAAAAAAAATCAGCTGGGCACTGGTGGGCACTTGTATTTCTAGCTATTACGAGCTATTCAGAGGCTGAGATCTGAAGATCACAGTTCAAAGGTAGCCCAAGCAGGAAAGTCCATGAGATTCCTTTTTTTTTTTTTTTTTTTTTTTTTTGTGGTCCTGGGGCTTGAACTCATGGTCTGGGCACTGACTCTGAGCCTTTATGCTTAAGGCCAGCTCTCTACCACTATTATAACAACTCCACTTCTGGCTTTTGGGTAGTTAACTGGAGATAAAAATTTCATGGACTTTCCAACCTGGGATGGCTTTGAACTGTGATTCTCAAATTTTAGCCGCCAGAATAACTAGGATTATAGGAGTGAGCCACCAAGGATTATCTCAATTAACCACCCAAAAGCAGGAAGTAGTACTGTTCTTTAAGTAGTAGAGCACTAGCCTTGAGCATGAAAGCTCAGGAACAGCACCCATGCTGTTTAAGCCCTGGGACACACACACACACACACACACACACACACACACACACACACACACACACACACACACCACACCACACCACACCACACCACACCACACCACACCACACCACACCAATCACCAGTTTTCTAAACTCCTAAGGCAATGCTGTTTTTCAGTCTAAACCCTACTGCCTTCTCTTTGGCATCTGCAATCAATCATTATAAAGACTTTGAAGGGATAAGCAGATATTTTGCTTAAATCACAAAATCACTGCAGGCACTGAGGTTAAAAGGCTTAACTGATTAGTTCCTTATTTGAGAAATCAGGACAAGGTATAGAAAAATATCAATATATTTAATGTTATGTTAATTTGTTCAACAAATATATAAATAAGCACCCACTACATGTTAGGTAATGGGGATATAATACTGAACCTACTGAGTCTACACTGTAGTGAGAGAAGATATATAAAATATATATAATAAATAGGTAAATGAGACAATTTGTTGAGCTACTTCTTTCCATTGTAAAGGATGAAAAGTATGGGCTATAATTTAAGTGACAATATTCGATATACAGCAACTTCAACTCTTAAAATAATCTCTTACATTGTAATTTTTAACGAAATGGACATAAAAATTTATTCTACATGTCTGGGTTTATTCATCACACTCTAATATGCTTGCCTTCTATATACTGTTGATAAAACTATCAATGGATATTATATCTTTTTTTTTTTTTGGTTGGTTGTGGGACTTGAACTCTTGAGCCACAGAGCCACTTCTGGTTTTCTAGTGGTTTATTGGAGATAAGAGTCTCATGGAGTTTCCTGACCAGGCTGGCTTTGAACAACGATCCTCAGATCTCAGCCTCCTGAGTAGCTAGGATTACAGGCATGAATCACCAGCACCAGGCTTGTATATTATATCTTTTATCTCAGCCTTTTGGGAATCAGAAGTAACATCTTCTAGTACTTATGATTAAATATAATAATAATACCTACGGTAATAATGATAAAGGGAACATAAATACATGATCCTTTAAGACAAGATGGAAATGGTTTCTGTACTTTGGATATTTCAACTTAGCTATGTTTTTAATCATGTCACCTGCTACTATTGGCAATAAAGAATGTTCACATCTTTGAAAGTACAAGGTCAATTAGAAGACTCATTAGGTGCTTTAGAGATTATTCTTCACTTCAACCAAGTCAACAGTAGTTCTCTTTTAGTAAAAAAAACTACACACAACAACGACAACAACAAATCCCAAAGATAAATCAAAGGCATGGTCAAGCCATCATCTAAATCCAAGTTATGCTAGGGGTTAACATTTCTAAAAGATTTAAGGTAATTTAAAGATACATGAAAGAGGTTCAAACAGGTGCTAGTTCTAAATATAGTTAAGGGCTTTGTGAAGGCCTTAAAGCTTTATTTAGGAAAGGACTAGTGTCTAAGCCTAAATTATAATATTTCAGTTCTGGAACATGTATGCTCAGGGGTTTTTGCTTCATTTAGTACATAAGCATAATGAAAAAAAATATGTGCTCAATTTCAAGCACTTTTAAAAGAAGGAATTTGCAATTGCTCAGGAAGGAAAAATTCCAGGCAAAATGGCAAAGAATGTTTTGCTGCTCTATAAGAGGAAAAAAGAGTAACAAATATCAAGTGTTTCTAGATTCATGCCTTACAAAAGGCATGAATTTAGGTTTTTTCAAGTGATCCAAGTTTAGATTTTTTTCAAATAATTTCTCCCTATTCCACATAGCTCTATAAAAGCAACTAAATAAAATAAAGCATTCAGTTTATGTTTTAAGTATAATTCTGACAATACTGTGCATATTTTGCTAGTATAAAGTCATTAATTGAGTCAATTAATATGGTCTCTTATATATATTTGGCATCAATCAAGTTGGAGGAATGCTGAGGACAGAGGTAACTGAATAGGAGACTGGCAATAAAGATTAATTAATGGTCCTGTAGTACACATCCTGTAGTACCTTATGATTAAAGGACAACCATGAAAGAAACAAAGGATATAAGACATAAAAAACATTAGTAAAATATTCAGACACCCTAAAGAGGGGGAAGCAATTAAAGAAATACCAGACCAAACAGTGTAACTTGGAAAATCAGTGCTAGGTCACTAGCTTTAAAATGAGGAAGCATCTAAGTCTACTGCTCTGTACACCTTGAGAGAGGAGGTCTCTCATTTAGTTGGGTGCCACAGAAAAGGTTAATGCAATAATTTTGTTCTGTCCTGGAATCTGCTCACAATAATCTGCAATAGTAGAATGGGGCTAATTGCTCAATAATAGAATGAAAGAAAAAATACAAGATCATTTTATACACGAGTAGAAAAGGATAGTTTTTGAGAATACCTTAAAATCAAAACTTTAAAAAAGATGAAATGTTTTCTATATGTTTTTTTCACTGTAACATTACAATCTCCCTCTTAATAAAAGAAAAAGAAAAAAGAGGCAGGTATATGGGAATAAGGGTGAAAACAAAAAACAAAACTAAACAAACAAACAAAAAGACTGAAAGAAACCATGAGTGAGAATGTTCCTGAAAACTTCACAAAATTCTAACTGCTTTTGCTTTGTTACATTGACTGCTACAACAACATTAGGAAACTACCATTAGGATTCATTGTGTACAACAAAAAGTGCTGAAATGTCAGCAGACTATACAGCAAAAAGTAATGGGTTCTGAACTCCTAGTAGTCAAAAATAATTTTGTTTCAAATTAGAAATTGATTTTTTTTGGACATAAGCCCCTTTTGGGCTTCTGGCTTGGGTAGCTGGAACCAGGAGAGATTAACCTCCACCACAGCCAAGGACTGATGATACCTTTTTCTCAAAGTGCCTTTTCAATTGCTGCTTCCTAATGTTGCTGTGATCTTTACTAATAACATAGTTATTTGTCTCTTTGCTATTACACTGCAATTTTTTCATTTTGGCATTTTATTTTAGTGCTGACATACAACATGAATTTGTTGACAAGTTATCAGAAGTCTATGTTAAGCCTTGCAGTGTAGCTAACAGACTAGTTCTCAACTGTTCTCCACTCCATAGTGCAATCACTAAGAGAGGACAAGGGTGAAGCACAGGCTTCCCATGTCTGAAAGACTATCTCTCGAGAAAGGAAAGAAAGTTCTATTTCATACAGTAAGTCTACACAATTTCATTTTTGTTTTGGTAGCAAAGTCTGGTACCAAAGAAACTATTAGGTCATCTTAAAGCAATGGAAATGTGCAGAAAACTTGCCTATGTCAAAGAAAACAAACTTTTGTTTCAAATGTGGAGTCAAATTGGACTAATTGTCACTTCACCTCTCAATTACCTGGGAGAGAATTAATCAATTTCTAGATTAAACGTAATTAAAACCAAAAGTCCTAACAAAGCTGGCAGCTGGTAGGAAAGAGGGGCAAAAGCAAGGTTTTCTCATAAAGCAATGCTCCACTCCTAAATAAATAAATGAATTTAACAGTGGTTAGAAATAAAAATGCAGGTGAAAGTTAGGTGAAAAAGCTATGTAAAAAAGAGCTAAATAAAGGAATTGGGGTTAGTAGTTGTAAATAGGCAAAAAAGATGAATGTTCACCAGGTCTGAGGAGAAGGGGTTCAAATCTCTTCAGCTCTCACCTCTCTTCTGTACAGTGAGGCTCTTTTCCCTTCCAAAGTTATACAAGAGACACTCCAAGAACAAGTGTAAAATAATTTACCTCTTTGGGGTTTGCATGTATCTGTTTTTGGACACACCCACTGGGCATCATCTTCTATACATGACTGAAACCCAACGGTCTTCTTCTCCTTTTTGTTGTTCTCTTTACTATGTGGGGAGCCTTGGTACTTTTTAAAGGATGCTGAGGTTGTAGGTGGCCATTCATCACATTTTGACGTTAAGAAACTGAAAGAGCAAAAATGAATGAATTGTAGAGAGTACAAAAAGGGATGTGAAACAAAGATATTTAAATTCAGCATGAGTTAAAATACAATTCATGGTACAGAGAACTTCCTTTTCTTATATTTTTATTTAGATATAATTTGAATAATTTACTAAAAGTCTATTTTGGGTCTTACCACAATAATTTTAAAAAATGCAAAATTTGTCTCTTTAATGGAAGTTTATAACATCATTATCAGTGAAGGTATAGGGACAAAAAATCTTTAATACACTATTTGAATAACTGCTGGTCAACACTGTTTTTGTAGATGATGTGTCAACATAAAATAAAACTGTATTTCTTCCCTAACAATTCTACTTTTTTTTGGTGCTGGTACCTAGAATTGAGCTCAGGGTCTTGCACTCTTGCTTAGCTTTCCTGCTCATAGCTGGCACTCTACCACTTGAGTCATGCCTTCAATATGGCATTTTGCTGCTTAACTGGAAATAGAGTTTTGTAGACTATTCTTCCCCATCTGGCTTGAAATTGAGTTTCTTCAGGTCTCAGCCTCCTGAGTACTTAGAATTACAGACAACAATTCTACTTTTAAGAATGGATTCAAGGGTAAGCACTGGTGGCTCATACCTATAATCTTACCTACTCAGGAATCTGAGATCTGAGGATTGAGATTCAAAGCTACCCAGGCAGGAAAGTCCATAAGACTTTTTTTCTGAGCTAAAATCAAAAAAAAAAAAAACACCTCAGTGTCCAGTGTCCACATACACAGAATGATAGTGACTGCAGAATTATTTGCAACAGGGAAAAAACTGAAGGCAAACACATTTAAACAGAAGAATAAAGTGATGATACTTAACTGTTGCAGGAAACATTATTTAAACATTAAAAACATTACACTGATGTAGAGAAACTTCATGTTATGCTATTAAAATAAAAGCAATTTGTGACAACAAAATATATAATGTAATCTCATTTTTGTAAAAACACAAGTATGGTGGACTCTTGTTATCCATGAATACATAGTTCCCACCACTGAGGAAAAACCATGAATATTAAATATACATAGAATTCAGTACTGTGCTGTAGATGTTGATTTATTAAAAATTTCACCTTATCACTTTTTTAGTATGCATAAACTATAAGTTATTTTATTTTTTATTAATAAGTTTTTTTATTGTGAAAATACTGTACAGAGGGGTTACAATTACATGAGCAAGGTAATGAGCATTGTTGCCTCCTCCACTTATATTTATACTTACTTTGCTTTTTTGGGGGGAAAAAGCATGTTTTCAATTTGTGTTTTCAGAGGCACATTCTCACAAATTTATGCACAGGGAAAGACTCAGTAGATCACACAATAATTTAAACACAACTGATAATGCACTACTGAGGGCTTCTTAGCATCAACTTAGCATCAACTCAGCCCTATAATTGTGTGTGTAAGTGTTTGTGTGTATATGTGTGTGTATGTGTTCATGCACACAGGAATTTAAAATATTTTGTTTGTAAAATTACTTTCAATTTTTAAATTTAATTACTTAACTTAGGGCCCTTGTTAACAAGCAATCTAGCCCTTGGGCCATGCCTCTAGACCTTCAAAGACTTTTTTCCAGGTAGCAATGGAGTTCTGAATTCATGACCTTATACTTACTAGATAGGTAATTGCTTGAATCATACTTTCAGGTCCTTTTTGTGTTATTTTTTGTTCTTGTCTAGGCTATCCTGGACTGCAATCCTCTTACTCATGCCTCTTATTTAGCTGTGTATGTATAGGTATATATATATATATATATATATATCATAATTTTTTACTCCTTCATCCATTGTAGGACATCTGGAGTGTTTCCATAACTTGGCTATTGTGAACCGTGCTGCAATCAATTTGGATGTATAGATGCCTTTGTTGTAACCTGCCATGCAATCTTTCAAAACAATGCCCAAAAGATGTCGCACTGGATGACAGGCTAGCTCTATGTTTATTTCAAATTTTGATCTCCATACTGACTTCTATAAGTTATATTACCACCAACAAGGAAAGCTATTAGTGTATTAGGCTACCTTTTTCCCCACACTGTCACTAGCATTTGTTGCTGTTCATATTCTTGAGGATGGCCATTTTGACTGAAGTGATATAGAATTTCCCTTATGGCCAAGGATGTTGAGTCTGACTCCATGTATTTATTAGCCATATTAACTTTTAGAATCTGTTTAGCTTCTGTGTATGTTTATTAATTGGGTTGATTATTTAGAGTTTTAGTTTTTTGAGCTCTCAGCATAGTCTAGTTATTAGACTTGCCAAATATATAGCTGGCAAAGATCTCCCATTTTGTAGGGTTTTTTTTAGCTTAGAAACTATATCCTTCACTGTGCAGAAGCTTTTACTGGGAATTCTTCTAGTTCCTTTTCCTTTAGTACACATATTCCTGAGTATTCTGTATTGAATTCTCTACCTCTTTCTTTCTTGCCACACCTTTTTATCTTCAACTGTGATTTCTAGATTCCTTTAGCTCACAGTACTGTATAACACTGCTGACCTAGTCAAGAATACAGTGAAAAGCTGCAAAGTATTATCTTGTGCTTCCTAAATCTATGCATCTTGTTTAAAACAATGTAATACCTTTATCTTGAAACTAGTTCCTCTATTTGTATCCACTTAATCCATCTTCACATCCTCCCAATCACTCATGAAAAACCTCAGCTGTTTGTTTTCTTTATTCCTGTTCAATAAATTGCCAAATTAATCATTCATTTATACATTCATCAGATACTCACTGAGGATGCATTTTAAAGTCCTCAGATGTGCTATAGGCATGGATTGGGCAATAATGAGTATTTAGATTTATGCTAGGTTCTGGGTATACAAATATGAGAAAGACCTATCTTCCATTGTTAAATTGGTTTAATAGTGGAGGCAGAGGCAGAAACATGACTTATTTATTTTTTAATTATATTTTTATCAACCGCATGGTTATTGGAACCTTACTGAAGGATGGCGTAAGTTGTTGGAAGAAAGTAACTTTGAGTGGAATGAAAAAGTCCTAGGGCAATAATGATGGAAGTGGAAGCATGAAATGCAGTAAAAGTGGACATATTGAAATTCACAAGAGAAGCTTTTTTCCTCAAGGCCAGTGTTCTACCACTTGAGACAAAGATCCACTTCTGGTTTTTTGGTGTTTAATTGGAGATGAGAGTCTCATGGACTTTCCCTGTGTAAGCTGGCTTTGAGCCTCAATCCTCAGATCTCAGCTTCCTGAGAACCTAGGATTACAGGTGTGAGCTACACCACCCAGTTAGTATGTCTGTTTAAAGATCCACAGGAAGTCCAAAGAATTCAAGGTTCATTGTGGTGTTCCGGCATAGAAAAAAATTAAAAAGGAGACACACACCTAGAATGAAGACCTCACTAGCACCAGAGCTTGTAGAGTATGTATTCTTCCTGTCCATTATACCTTCTTATAAAATTCCTTTAGTTTACCTGTGTTTCTCAATACGTAGTTTTGGGAGAGATAATAGTGTCACACAACCCTTCCATCTTCCAAGCAGGGTATCAGCCCTTGAAGAAGCTTCATTTCTTCATACTAACTTTCATTTCCAAAGTATTGGCTTTCAAATAGTGAGCAACCAGATCTGGGTCCAGCAATTTTTATAATGTATAGAAAGGAGTGGGAGAAAATATTTCTTGTGAAAAAGTTGGGGACAAAAAAGTTTATTTTCTATGAAAAAGTATTCCTTAAAAATCCTGAAGGTATATTGCACTTGTGTAGTATGCATCATGTGTTTAATATTCAATACATCAAAAAATCCTGAGAGCCTATGAGGAGTTAGGATATATCTCTGTACAAATACACTCTCCAAAACATGAAGGACTATTGAGTTGAGCACAATTAAAAGGAAGCAAATGCAGGAAAAATACTTGGCTTCCCTGTTCTATTTGACTAAAACTAGACAGGAAGTCATAAATTATAAAGTATATCCTCCTGAGCAAAAAAGTTTCATATCACCCCATCTCAACAAAACAAAGGTCGACCACTATAGACAAACTCAAACTCTTATCTGCCTATAGATGAAATCAGACAAATATACATTAACAGGTTTTATTAAGTTGCCTTGATTTGCCTTTCATCAATTTGCAACTCTTAGAGAATAAACATATTTTTCTATTATCTTGTGATTTCTCTAAAATCTTATTATTTACTGAAGATCCTAAGTCACTTCTAAGAATTACTCATCTCTCAGATGTATCTCATATCTGTATTATGAGATGTATCTCATATCTGTATTAATACATACATGTATTAAAAAATCTATGTTTTTCTTTTGTTAATCTGTTATTGGTGACAGGAATCAGTTCTATCTAAGTACTTATGGATGCTGACGAAAAAATAACTTTCCTATAAAACTTTTCCTACCCATTTTGGACTGGGCAACACCTATTGTGATGGAACCTTTCTTAACCCTCTCAGAACCAGAACTCACACTGGGCCAACTTCCACATGAATCTCTCCTCTTTCTGTCCAGGCTTCAATATTTAACAATAAACTAGTTGGCAGCATAGAAGTCCTCTGGACTATGCAAGAGCTTTGTCTCCATGATACAGGGACAGGTTTTGAACTTTCAAGAAGTCAGACTTAGTGGGAGGTCTTTAGATAATTAGGAATGTGCCCTTGGAAGGGATTAGTGGATCTTAGCCATTTTGGCTCGAAGATTTCTAAAGTGATCTCTTCCTTTTGAACGCACAATCATCTGCTTTGGGACCCTTGCTAGAACTGAAGTAAGGAGGTCAGGTCTGGCCGCAGCCATATTGGCCACATGGTGGATGGGATGGTCTGGCACCTTGTCTTCATGCTGGGTGAAGAAACCCCCCTGCCCATCACCTGCCTCCCAGGTAATGGGTGTGCCTGGACCCCTGGAGGCAGGGGCAGGCACTTGGCTGATAGGTTACTGAATCTGTTGGTCCAGTAGTTGAGACGGGGAATTTCCTGAGGATCTGCCTCCTGCACCATCT